GAGCACTTGGCTGACCTTATCAGATACAAAAGTTACATTTCTTGGTATATAGGTCTTGCTTTATCTTGGTCTTAACCATCCAGCAGAGAAGTATAAAAATGAGGTATATAAAGTAAATCCATACTAATACGATGAGCTGTAAAAGGCTCAAGTCAATAACTTCTGAGGATAACCCACTAATATAGACTGCTAGACCGTGGGAAGCCGTTAACTGATAACCATTTTATAATAGTGTCAGCTGTTTTCTTAAGTTTCTATTCCCCTGCTGAGTTAAGCGTATGGTCCTTCTCACCTTGCCCATTCCCTGTGAATCATGTGCTACGCCCCAGGGCTGGCACCTTCCCCGTTGCCTAGATACCTGCTGACGTCAAGAGCCGAGACTTCTTCATTCCTGCACTCCCTATATATACCCAGCACCTCCCTTGAATAAAAGAGACTTGATCAGAATCCTGACTTGTCTCCATTTCTCGCGTCTCCTGTCCTTTGTCCTCTTCAATTCCCCGCTCCTCTCCCAGGTGACCTTCATTGACTGACCTGCTGGTTTGGGACACTAGACAGTGTTAGATTTAGCTGAATTCAAACACCTATAGTATTTAGATGCCAGTAGAATATTCACCTCTGATAGACAATTAAAAAAAAGATACAAAGGAAAGATCATTTTGTATTTATATATACAAATTAGGATAAATTTAGAGCTACTTTCGCTTAATTCAATAAGAAGAAAGAGGTGTACTAACAGTGCTTGGAGAGAATATCCTGTCTGCTTCTTATACTATGGATAACCACCAAGAAGATAACAATGTGCAGTGAGCTGACTATCAAAACTGTCCTATTAATCAGCTGTGAAACTGTCTCATATTTCTCAATAAAAATAAAAAATTAAAAAAAAATATTTGTGTTTGAAGATTTAAACCCTGAGGCCGGGGAGATAGCTCAGTAGAATAAGCGCTTGCCAGGCAAGTGCAGGGTCCTGAGTTCAATCCCTTGTCCCTCAAAAAAAAAAAAAAAAAAAAGAAAAAGAAAAAATTAAACCCAACAGGATTTGAAAGTGCAATTTACCATATGTGCATGTTGGATATGCTAGCTTTGTAAGAGTCAAGCGCTTTTAAAGCTTTTAAAATTTAAGGCCCCTTCCCACAAATTAGGCCTCTTAAAAGATTTGGGAGAATTAGAAAATTATAAATGAAGGGCTGGGGAGATAGCTCAGTGGTTTAAGTGTCTGCCTGGCAAGCACGAGGTCCTGAATTCTATCCTTGGCACCACACACACACAAAGTATAAATAATGTATTATATAAGAAAATGTATAACCGTCAAGAAGTTCCACAGGGAACTGACTGGCCAAGTTTGCGCACACACCTAACCGTCTAAGGGACTGTACTGATCTTTACTCGCGATCAGAAGCTTTGAGCCCTTCATGACCCCTTAATCAGCTAGCACACCCGCACCTGGAAGGGCCGTGCTCCTTCCCCAACACTGTTCCTTGGTCTACTTGCTTCAAGCCTTTGTGTCCTGAACGCATCTGAATGGAGTCAGTGTCACTGAGCCTTTCACCACAGGAGCTGCTCTGAGACACCAGCTGGGTGGGGTCAGGGGCCGGACTGCCCTCCCAACCCTCCGTCCTGCTGAGGGCACCGTGGGAGCCTGGCCTCAGAACACACACACCCGCACTGGGTCTAAGAGGTACTCTTCCTGGACTCTCTCTGCTTATTCCAACTCTTCCTCCATCTAAGCACCGGCTCACACCATCAAACTCCGCTCGACGTGGCTCCCCCTCCACTCAGGCCAACACTGTGGAGGTGGCGCCAGTGTCTCACAAGCACAGGAAGCTCTGCAGGGCAATCTGCAGCAGCCCACGTCCATGGCCCCCACGCTACTCTTCTGCTTGTTTTACACCTCAGCCCAGTGAAAAGCTGTCCTCTCGGAAGACGGACAGCACGGTAACAGTGGTGCTGCAGTGACTGAATAAAGGGAATTCTACAGAGCTTGAAGTTTAATTCAAAGGTACTTGACCCCCAAAGACAAAGCAGGAACTACAGCTGAGCAAAAAAAAAATCTCTTCTTACCAAATATAGCTGAGAACATTCAAGACACTGTTCTTGGAAAAAAGGAAAGCGAACAAGCAAATAAAGACTATGTGGTTTCAGATTTTATTTTCATAATTATCTTCTTTATAGAAGCAATAATGTATTTCTGTAACAACACATTTAATGTCAAAGAGCTGGGAAAAAATAGGACTAGAGCGTAAGATTCCATACGCAAATACCATACTCTGCACATGTACAAATAAATTCAATATATTAAATGTTCATTGGGTGCTACTCGCTATATAGAACAGAAACTAGATTCTCAACACACTCATGCAGACTTTCATTTTGGTAAAGTGCGGACACTAGAGTTCTAGAACACAACTATTCTTGTTGTAAACATCATTTTCTGACTATGCTCTCAGGAGAACTATCCGGATGGAAAAATAAAACGTGTAGGTGTGGAACAAAAGCTCTCGTGGACACCAGGACAACCCTGACACAGCAGCACACTCTGGAAACCGCTCTGTGGCCCCAAGGAGCAGGGGAGCCAGGGGACACCCCTGTGGCCTGTGCCCATCACCCTGTCTTCAGTGTGTAAATCCAAGCACTCCCGACCCCAGGTTGTAAGGAGTCTCAGCTCGTGAAGAGGCAGCCGACGCATCTGTGAGTACCAGCAGCCTGCTCACACGGAGAACTAGCTTGCTCAAGAGGCCTTGGCAAAGGACGTCCCAAGTTTCTCATGGGACCTACAGGGTGCATGTGGCAGTGAGGGGGTCGCTGAAAGCTTAGCTTCCCTTAAACAAAAATGCTTCAGTGGTCAGATTCATGGTCACCACCTCAGTACAATGAATACAAGTGAGCTGCCCCTGAAGGCCTGGGCAGGCGGCAGAAGGGAGAACAAGCTCCGCTAGGCTGGTGGGAGCCCCTCAGCGAAGCCGTGCTAACCTCACCTACACTGCAGGGATGGCGTGTCCCGGAGCAGAGCTGTGACCAGGTCCCGAGCACCCCTTCTGAGGGTCTCAGGACACCCAGCAAGACAAAGCAGGGTGGGTTTGGCCTGAGTGGAGGGGAAGCTGGCTTCGCGGCAGAGCCTGCAGGACTAAGAACCTGCAGGACTGCTGCCGTCCAGCCTCCTTCTTGGTGACAGGGGACAAGGCAGGGCTACGCCACACAGGGTGTCAAAGGAATGCTTCAAAACTATCCTGTCAGGAAACCACCAAGACTGAGAGTGCTAGAACCCAGTTCTACATGTCTCTCAAAATCAATTCGCCCCTTCCAGCCGAACCTCTGTGGTCAGCTCTCTCCATGTGCACGCGTGGTCTCGTCGCAGCCCTTCCATTGAGGAGGCGGGTTGTGCTAGACGACGGACTGGACACAGACTCTTCCTCAGAGCACACAGACACTGGTCCACATGGTCAGAGCCCAGCAGGACCGTCACTGCGCTCTTGGGTGGCCAGAGTCCCCCACACCGCGGAGAACACTGGGAACAGCAGAACCCTCTTAAGAGAATGCCTTCAAAAGTGTGTGCATTAACACAGAAAAAGCTTATGTGCACCTTTCATTGGGCTAAATACCCTACGTCTCAAAACTGCTTCATCTGGATTTTGTCTCTGAAAATATTTAAAATTTAAATGTACCTACAATTACGGGAGATAAATTTCCTTTTCAAAATAAGGTAAGTTCTTAACGTAATAATTGTTCTAGTGGGCAACTTCACTTTTAGCAGCAATATTAAATAAAATACAAACAAAATCCTCATACAATAAATCACAGGAACACAAGAAGAGTACCCATGTCTACCAGTCCTTTTGCTTAGGGTGTGATTTGTCTTGAATTTAGCTTGCAAATTTAAAAATCAACTGTACTAAAAGGTGACAGTACATTTTTTGCTATTCCTGTTCTTACAAAAGAAAGGAAAAAAATGCTTCCCAATAGTAGATCCAAGAGCTGATTTGGGAAACGGTAACTACGAATCATCTCTACCTGGGCGATGGGAACAGGCCACAGGGGTGTCCCCTGGCTCCCCTGCTCCTTCGGGCCATAGCGGTTTCCACTCAAAAATCACCATCTCAAGGAAGTGTAACTTTCAGTGAGTTCCAGGTCCACAAAAATGGTATGTCAGAATCTTCCCTTTGTCTTCCTTTTCTCTTTGCAAGCAGAATGCTAGCACAGTCCTCCTGAATATTCATCTTCCTCCTCTTCGGGGGCCGCGGTGCCACCACCTGGCTTGGCCTGGGGCGCTGCTGGCGACTTCTTCTTGACCCCTCCCCCTGGGACCACCAAGCTCAGGCCCAGTTTGGCATACTGTCAAAGACACGAGAAAGGCCTGTGAGCTTGGCCAGAGGAGCCCAGAGCACAACTCCTGGGGGTGGCACCACCAAGCGCAGGCCCAGCTGCTCACCTGTCAGACAGGACAGGAATGACACGGGACTGGGCTCAGAGGAGTTAACTACAGCCCTGCCCCCTGCCCTCTCCCTTTACTGCAAAGCAGCACACAGCTGCCTCGGGACCGCAATGGTATACAACGGCGACACACCAACTGTGTCCTCCCTCATGGACAGAGATGACCTGGACATCTACGTCAGACTACGGGAGTGAAAGGAGGGAGGGGCAAATTTTTAAAAATCTATACAAATTTACCAAAGCATGACTAGGAATGTATGTAAATGAAGTTTCTCTACAAATATTATTGTAACAGAGGTCTGCGGCCGCCCTGATAGTAGGACAGGACACTGAACTGCTACCCATAAATCTACTGAGACAGGAGATGGGCAGAAGCCACAGCCGAGGGGATCTCGGCCCAGGAGGGAGGCCCCTTTCTCACACAGGCTGGAGGGTCCTTCACGGTACTCCACTGCGACAGATGCCAGGCGCTCTGCACTACAGCTGAGTCACCTGGGGCGTGGGGACCATCAACAGCAGCCTCTACCACCCTGCAGCTGTCACCCAAGTGGCACTGCACAGCTCTGAGGAGGCCATATCCTGGCCTCTCTGAGACAAGGAGCCTGAAGAAAAGCAACTTACTAACTAAACACCTTCAGAGGGTAACGACCAAAGGACAGGCTGAGAGATGAGGATATATACAAAAACATGCCACCCTCAGCCAGGTGTGGTGGCACACAGCTATAATCCCAGCACTCTGGGAAGCTGAGGAGGGAGGATTGAAATGTTCAAGACCAACCTGGGCAACTTAGTGACACTCTGTCTCAATATAAAAAAATACAACAGCACTAGGGATGCAGCTTGGGGTCTAATTCCCAGTACTAAAAAATAAGTAAAACAATTAAAACACGCTGTGGGCAACACAGTCAAGGAGTCAGTGAAGGGATGTTGAACCAAGTGGCTGACAAGTGGGCTTCCTGCCCTGCGGAAGAAGAAAACGGAATCGGCTGGTTCTGAGTAGGGTTTGAGGAGAAAATCTTTCAGATCCATGGGGAATCCCACACTCACGTCATTGTCCATGTACTTGAAGAGTGGCGAGTTGCAGACCTCCGACACCTGGTCCTGGTCCTGCTGGTCATAGCCCTCGAGAAGCTGCTCAAGCGCGGTGCAGTCTTCGCTGCCACTGAAGCCTGGGATGCTGTGGAGACAGCACATGTACGCATCTTCACCTCCTTAGGACGCCTCCACCAGGTGCCAGCCCGCAGCAGGGACAAAGTCATAGCAAGGGGTAGAGGCCAGAGGCCCCACTCGCCCCCTGCGGTACACAGGCGACAACCCAACCAAACACCAGCCGAGGGGTCTACCCGCCAGGCCCTCCTTCATGCGACCTTCCTCACCCTCAGGACACATGGGGAGCTTGCCTTCCTTTTTCCGTAATTTGTTTCTTAGAAGGCAAACGTAATGGAATGATTAAAGTCACTCACTCCCGTGGAAATCCTCAGGAGACAACAACTACACTGAAACGGTGGGCGAGTCTCCTACCCTTAGAAAACTGACAGAGCCTTCCAGCCCAAGAGCTGTCTGAGCAGCACCCCGAGCACAAGGAGCAGTAGCGGCCTCACCTGTAGCTCTCCCGGACACACCTCTCGGCAGCCACGTAGTCGTTTCTGTGCAGGTGAACCAGGACCTGGGCGATGGTTTTCTAAAACAAAACAGAGAACTATGCTCTAAATGGGCGGTGATTCTGGGTGTACTGAGGACATCTGAAAGCTAACTTTTCATCTTGGTTTGTATATAGGGACTTGTAAACTCAGCAGCAAGTTCCAACGACACCCAAGAGAAACCTCCCAGAGCCGTGCCTCCGCAAGCCCCAGGGCCCTGCTGGGCCCACGGAGCCTCACAGAACCCTGCATCACTGCAGACGCATGCGCTATCAGCACAAGCTTGAAAAGAGACAGGAGGGGACCCCTAATTCTACTGCTGTACTTGGAACTCCTAAAAGGCCCCAGGAAGGTCTGCGTGACCCTTTAGTAGCAGAAATAATGCAGTGTAAGTGGACAGCAAAGGCAGCAGCAGGAGCAGGGCACACTGCTAAAACCCTACTGGCGATACAGACTCCAACTTTCTTCTCAGACGCGGGTCCCCTGCACGGGGTCTCCCTATCCACACCGACACCCCCTCAGGGCCCACAAGGGTGGCTCAGCGGTGTCCCCTTCCCCTCTCCCTTCACCTGACCGTCTGGCTACAAGGACAGGCTTCCCAGGAGCCGCTGCCGTGGCCTCTGATGCCCAGGCTTCCCCTGGGAATGCCGCAGGACCCAAGAGCCCGGACTCACACCTGGACCCGGTGTCTGCGTGTCGACACCCCTCCAGCCTGCCTACCCTTGCTTACTTTCCAAGGGTACGGTAGTTGCTTGCTGTATTTTACGCCATAGTTCTAACTGTAATCAGCCAGACAGACAAGGCTGTAGTGGTTCACTATTGTAGCACAAAACAGAAGGCCGCTGCTATCTTCTAGAAACACCCCCACAGAGCCTTTGTTCAGGCAGTTATGTGTACCAATGTGAAAAACCACCTAACGTAAAGTAAAAATGAGCACTTTCAAAGACTACCTTATAACAGGTGGGGTAATTCTCGATTTCCTTATAAATATTTTTTTCTTTCTGAATAGAGAGTGCTGCCTCATCAAACCTGAAAACAAAACAAAGAAACGTGAACAAGACAGATCTCCATGAAGTCCCTCTCCAGGAAGCTCAGAGGAACAGAAGCACCACTGCTCCCCACCGATGGCATAACACACGCTCCCCTCTGCTCTGTTCTGTGCCTGGCCCTGGCCCTGGGTGTCAGGCTGGCACAGGGCATGGAAAGCATGGTGCCAAGGCCCACCCATCAATGAGCACCCAGCAGGTCCAACACCCACCTCATCAGTGCAAGAGGACACCCTATCTCAGCTCCCTGGAGGAACTCCAGGGTACCTCCCAAATGTAAGTTCCGAAGGTGACCATGATGCACCTTTGGGAGAAGGTGAAAGTAAGCTCACTGGCTGGGAGTGACAGTGGTATCCAAAACCGTCCCCAGGAAACCCTCCTCTCTGCTGAGCAGGACCCCTGGGCGGGCTGGGGCTGCCTCCTGGGTTCAGGACTAGTTATGGTTTGTGTCAAGGTGTTCCCCCAAAGCCTCATGCAGTCATGGGACGGTTTCTGGAGTTTGTGATTAATTCATGGTCCCAGGCTGGAATTATGGGTGTGAGTACTACTCTTGCCTTGGGGTGGGTCACCTGCATTACAATGTGAGGAGACAGGCTTGCAAAAAGCCACAGCTGCCACCCCTCTCTTTGCTCTTTTTCCACTGCCATGAACTACTGCCTTGTTCCATGTGTCACTCTGCGTTGGGGCTGGCCAAGCATGAACTGAAACCTCCACAAATTGTGAGCTAAATAAACCCTTCCTTCTTTAATTTTGGGTGTCCAGTATTTTGTCCCGGCAATAAGAGAAAAGTAACAGACAGTGCTCAACAGGGGAGTGCTGGTGAGGTCTGTCTGCAGGGCCTGGGCCATCCCTGCAGGTAAGTGTCACAGCAAATGGCCTTGCAGCACACAGGCTGAGCAACTGAGGCACTACAAGGGCTGAGCATGGCTCCAGGCTGACAGGCCATGGGAAAGCAGGGACCTCTGTCATGACTGACAGGAACCAGATGCTGCCAACACTCAGTGAGCTTGGATGGGGACCCAGCTGCAGAGGCCATCGCAGCCCGTCCATCCTGCACCCTGACCTCATCCTAGCGAGGCTGAGCAGAGGCGTGGGGCAACCAGGGACTGTCACCCCAAGAGGCTGCGTTTCTGGTAATCTGTTACACGAACAGTAAGTTGAGGCATGGCATCCCACGCGCATCACTTGTGACAGTGACCATGAGCTTTTCACAGATCGTATTTCATAAAATAAAATACTGCAGAGACAGTCTGTGGCCATCATGTCCAGATTCTGTCAGTCTAGTAGAAGTACAGTACGGTGCGATGTTAACACATTCAACTAAGAGGCTACGCTCCTCAACATTCATTTCATTGACATAAAAACAGCACCTCCGTGAGCTTATAATGACCTAGCAAAAGCAGCGAAAGGAATACAGCACATTTATGTGAGTATGGAGTCAGAGAAATTGATCAGCTTTGCGGAAGTCCATGGAAGCGGCCACCCAGCTTCAGACGTGTCCAAGAAATAATCCGAATTTACAATGAAATACAGATAATCTTGACTTTCTCATCAAGTAATCCTTAATAGCTCACAAGACTGTTCAGTCTTCTTGCCACATGCCCAACTTGGCTTCTCTCCACCTTGGAATCAGAGACCTCGCCCATAGCGCACAGAACAGTACCACCTCAGGAACCCAGTGACAGCCTGTGCTGGGAACCTGCCCCCCAGCGCTGGGGTCCAGGCACTGGCCTACTCCTGCAGGTGGGCCAGAAGGGTCTCTCAGGGTACAGTTCTCATCAGCTTGCAAGAAAGGGCAAGGGCCACCCCAGGCCTAAGTGCAATTCCGAGACACTTCTGAGCAGGAGGGAAAGTGTGAGGCCACGAGACATGAGGCAGACAGTTGGTTCTGCTCTACTAGAGAGCATTAAAGGGTAACCCTGTCAGGCTGGTACAGACTTTGGTGTAGTAAGCCTGGCTCCACTGGAGGGAACGTGGAACAAGGCAACTTGCCACCTGCTTTTCTTCTCTCAGGCCACCAATGGCCTCCACTCAGTGCCACCTCAGCAGAGCCGAGGACACATGAACAGGCCCATTCCCCTCTCTACCAGGAGGAGCGTGGTGTCTTATCACTCTGCACTACTGAATACTCCGGCAGAAGAACTGCGACAGCAGGCTTTTCATGCTTCATGCCACACGTGCCCAGAGACACTCTCCAGAGTATCAAATTCATCATATTCCTGAGTGAGTTCACACCAGCCTTTAGGAGGTTAAGTAATTTTACAATGCATTTCCATAGAGCTTACATTTGGTCTAACACTGCAGAAAGGCTCATTTTACAATGCAGTGTTAAATGTAGGAGAAGAAAAAAAAATCAAGGAAAGGACCCCTGAGGTAACCACAGGTCCCTTTTCCAGCTGCACACAGGTCACGCACCTGTGGAGGTTTGGGGAGGCAAACGCCGCACCGAGCCGATCACGGCTGCCCAAACCCACCAGGAAGGGCTGCAGAAGGATGGCTGCACCACCAGGCGAGGGGTGGAAGGGCATGAGGAGCAGTGGGGATTCCTCCTCACCTGGCCTCCCTTCCACAGACACCGCGCCACGACCCTGAGCGGGTGTCTACAGCATGCGATGTAAACAGAAAGATGTGAAAGGCAGCCCTCCCTCTGCTGCGCAGCCCAGGCAGGCTGTTCCTGCCTGCTGCCTTCACCCCACTATCTGCACACCCCTCCTCTCTCGCCCTGGATCTCTACAGAGGAGGCACCCACAGGCCCGGATGTGCCCTGTACAGAGTAGCAGGCACCTCCCGGCTCTGGCTGGGGCCACTCACGGCTAGAATCTTGGTGGTACCTCACAGGTCAGCCACTCTGCAGCCCAGGGGCCACCGCCACACCCAACAGACAGCTGACCTGAGAGTCCTCATTTCTGTCACTGGCATTTCTGGGAACCAGTGGCCAGCAGAATGACGAGGGCAATGGTACAAGGCTGATTTATGAATTGTTTGTTTTAAAACAACAGGCAGACCAGGGAGATAGCTCAGTGGCATAAGCGCCTGCTTGGCAAGCATAAGGTCCAGAGTTCTATCCCCAGTACCGCAAAATAAATAAATAAAATTTAAAAAATAAAACAATAGGCTTCATTTAAAAGCATAACAAAATTTCTATTCCATTTAGACCAATAAAAACCTAGTCAATGAAAAGGACTTTATATAAACGAGTACTATGTCTACACGAGAGCATGAGAGGTTAATTTTAGGGTTACTCTCATTCTAAATATGTTTGATTTTTTTTTTTTTTTTTTTTTTTTTTTTTGCGGAACTGGGGATTGAACTCAGATCCTTGCGTTTGCTAGTCAAGCGCTTATCCTACTGAGCCATCTCCCCGGCCCCTGAATTATATTTTAGAATCTATAATCTTCATTTAAAAAATCAATGCAATCTCAGAAAGGGACTGATAGATTCAGTAGTCACTTCTAATTTAATTTCATTACAAAATAAATCTGGGGTCTTTTCTGGCACCAGAGAATGAAGTGCAAGTTTTAATTAAGACACCTGTCTCCAAGCTGGGTGTGGTGGTGCATGCCTATAATCCCAGCACTCAGAGCCTGAGGCAAGAGGATTACTGGGGGTTCAAGGCCAGCCTACGCTAAATGGTGGGTTTAAGGCCAGCCTGATCTGCACAGCAAGACCCTGTCTCAAAAACTAAACAGGGGGCCTGCCAATAGCTCAGCTGTTTAAGTGCCTGCTTCAACAAAGCCCTCAAGCTCAAGCTTCTGTGGTTCGAACCCAGATAGTCACAGCAAACCAGAAATGCCCTAAAGGCATATTCGCCCCCCCCCCAAAAAACTAAACAAACAAGATATTTGTCTCCAAATGTACAATTGCCTAAGGGTGTTTATCTTAAGACTGTATTACTGAGAAGCTGACAAGTAGAATTTTATCAATAATATAAATGATGTACTAAGCATAAACTGAGATAAAGTGGACAAGACCCCACAGGAGTGCAGCTTTCAGTATCTAGCAATTTGTGCTGCAAGTCACATATTTCAAGGACAAAAAGTATACACCCTGTTCAATGACACAACTTGACTACCAAGAAACTCAAATTTTCATGGGTGAGGATTTTAAGCATTTCTTTTACCCCAATATACATGTATTGCCCCAAGAGAGAAACATTTTTAAGTAGCACATCAATAAAACTGTTCGCTTTCGTCTACCGAGCCACGTCTGAGCCATTAAAACATGATGCGGGGTAAATGTGGGCCCTGCACTCTGGAACACGGCCCTCCTGATATTCAGTGTCACATGCCCACTGCGTGGATGCCAGGCCTTCTCCTGGTAGCCTGCTGTACTGAAGGCAGATGCCAGTAGGACGAAGCAGCCATTCCCTCAAGCACAACCCTCGCCCTCATGGACTCGGTGCCAACGCCCCAGCACGGCCGTGAAAGACTCACCTGCGTCCTCGAACCAACAGCCGCGAGGCTTTCCCCAGCAATTCAACAGCCTGCCGCAGGCGCTCCTCGTTCTGCAGGATCACAGAAAAAGAAGTGTTGGTTGTGCTCATGTGGATTCTTACCTGTGACAAGAACTACAAGGCAGGGACCACACCCCATCGGAGATGCCAGAGCTGCTAGCCCTGTCACTGTTCTCCAACAGAAAAAGGGAGCATCTGTTGTGAGCACGGAAAAGCTCCACAAAAATGCAGCTCTGTTTTCCTCAAAGTTATTAACCTAAATGCTCTAAGCATAGAAGAAAAACAGACTCAAACTTACTTCAAACACATTAGCTGTCTGTTGGTATAACTGTACAGCCTTCTCAGGATCTACATTTTCTATAAGCCTGAATTAGAAAAGAGAATTTGACTTAAGTGAGAAATAGAAAACATGCCCTGGAGGACATTAAAACCCAAAGAGCAGTGCCGCCAGGGCTCAGGGCTCTGGGCCGGGCGCACACTCACTTCCCAGCGCGCTCCAGGGCCATGGCGGCCGTGTCAGGGGTACCGTTCTCCAGGTACATCGTGCTGGCCTTCTCGATCAGCTGGACGGCCTCTGGCAGCCTCTGCATCTCCTGCAGAGCACACAGCACAGACAGCCTCAGGCACGCAGCACTAACCACGCAAGCTCGACTGCTGTGCTGCTGTTCCGCATCACACGGCACACTGGGACAGCAAACACATTCCCGAGGACGCCACCTGTCACCCTCCACAGGGAGCTTCACGCAGTCAAAGCAGAGTCACCAGTCCTTCTCTACCACTCATCATCCCCTCGCAGACTTTCAGAGAAACTATAGAAATAGCATGCTAACTAATTTTTAAAGCATTTACAGATCTTTAAACATTTACTGAGCCTCTACTATCCACAAGGCCTATGCCAAGGACCACAAACTAGTAACCCTAGAGCCGTGTGCCAATTCTAAGGACACTTCAGTTGAGTTACAGTGTTTTTAAATCAGATACTTTCACAAAAAAATTGTTTTATGGCTTCTTTAAAAAAAAAAAAAACAAAACACCTCAAAGGCTAAGCCAACATAGGTCCTCGGTCCCCAAGGCAGCAAGGGGGTGGGGCTGAGCACCAGCCGCCCTGTCAGGAGTGGGTGCCAAAGCTGGGCGAGCAGCGCTTCCCCACTGCTCCTGCCTGCCGCCTGTTCACCTCAGCGTCCCCTGCACGCCCACAGCCTCCGCCAGGGCGTCAATAGAATAGATTCTCTTATTCCTGCTTTGTGATTCTCAGATCTTCTGGTCCTAAAGTCTCTAAATCAAATTTGTTTTGAAAAACTAAAAGTAGAAATCACTTAGAAGCCCACATGGCATTTTCAGGTGGTATCCTTTAGGGGTGACTTGTGTGTGGCAAGCAGGTACACTGACAGCCCATCTGGGCCAACATGCAGATGTCTCTAGTAAAGCTGCTGGTCTCTTTCTGACTCTAAAATATAACTTGCTTATTATTTCGCTATAGAGAGCAACATTAAGACATCCTGAAAGTCACTGTAAGAAGCAAGGCTGCTACCAATTATTACTCAAGAGGAATACATTATATTCCCAAGCTTCAATAAAAACATTCTTTTGTTTGAGAAACCAAAGCTCCATAAGAGAATCCAAGTCTTTGGATTGGCACATATTGAAGGTTACATGGGGGACCAGAGAGACACCTCAGTAGAATAAGCGCTTCCCTGGCAAGCACAAGGGCCTGAGTTCAATCCCCGATTTCTCCAAAAAAAAAAAAAAAAGATTATGTTGGAAACTTTAGTCGCGGGGGTCAATTTCACTTCTCTAGACTATTCCTACCCATAAATCACCAACCCATTTATTAAATAGATGCTGAGCACCTCCAACATAAAAGCATCTAGGATAAAAGAACAAGAACATGGGCGTACAGAGTGCAACTACAGCAGAGGTGGAATAAAGAAACATTACCTGATGAGCAGCTGTCTCTCTCCCTACTCTGCTTTAAGCCAAGGAAGCCCCCGGGCAACCAGGGTCCAACCACAATACTGATACTTCTCAGAAAAAATGCAAGGCTACCTAGTAACAAGCAGCACCACCCAGTGTTTCTATCTCCGGTGGTGCCTGTCTTCAGGCGCTTGTGTGTCACGGTACTACATTGTTCCTATGCAGTAAATAGCACAGGATATCCCAAGTCGCAGGCAGCAGCATCAGAGCCTTCCCTTGGGCCTGGTCTCCAAGCTGCCACTCCCTCAGCCCTCCTGCACAGCATGAGAAGCTCCGCAGGACCTGGTGGAAATCAGCCCACAGAATGAACTGTGGGGGTCACAGCTCAGGACTCTGGACACCACCTGGAACTGTCCCGTGACATTTAATCTCAAAACCAGACATGCAGACTGTATTTTCATTCTCATCTCTCCAGCCACCATTAAGGTTTTTCACCCAGAGTAATGCCTTTCCAACCCTCATATAACACAGGCACTTGAGCAACAGAAGCAACGCCTAGGTCACTTTAGCACAGCTGCTGGAATATAAATGTGGGTAGTGGGAACTACCATGTTCTAGCAGTGGATACCCTAAAAACAGACATGAGGTGCAATGAGATTATAGAAGCCACGTGGGCATTTCCTAATTCCAGGGGGAAACAGACAGGTGCTCAGAACACATTCCTGGCTTCTCTGCTGCTGGCAACCTAAACTTGTCACCTAATGTCAACTCAGATACATGTTCAGCCAGAAAAGCCTTATGTCAATGTACATAGAACAACTCATTAGAAGCACTATATTTTAAAAAGTCTATTAAAAATGTTAGATAACTGCTGTTTTTTCAATAAACATATTTATGCACAAGTATTTTCTACTTCTTTATGATTGACTCACAGAATTGGAATGGCTGTGTTAAAGGCTATGAAATGTTTAAGTATGTTAGTAGCTGTTACTGACATTCTTTATTCTCTCCAGTATTTATAAATGTTCTCCAGTACACATGCAATCACTGAAAAAAATCAGTAAGCTAACACTATAAAGTCACAGAACGTGGACACAAGGGCACAGGCCTACAAGGTCAGCCCCCAAGAGGTTGAGGGTGATGAGTTCAAGCCCAGGTTGGACCATACTGTGAGACTCTGTCTCAAAAACCCAAAACTACAGCAAACAAAAGCTTTACTGAAGTGTAAGTTTTTAAAGCAAAGCCTTAGGAATTTTAACTAATTCAAATAACTTGTACCACATCAGAGAGCATATATAAAAATGGAAAGGAAATTATTTCATTTTAATTGCCACCTGGCACACCTCGAGTCACTGTCTTACAGAAGTATAAGCAGCTGGCCTCAACAGGGCATTAATTCCTAGCCTGCTTTAAGAAGCAGAAGCGTGATACCTTTATCAAAGTAGTTCATTCAAGAAGAAGCAGATGAAGTAACAATACGTGAAGTCTGATTCTCTTTGCTGCCAACTGACATTTGTAAAATAAGCAAAAACCTACTATAAAGTCAACAAAAACCTCTTTATAACCCACAAATAATTAAAAAATATATATATATATGTATATACCTATATAGGTATATATGTGTGTATATGTGTATATACATATGTATCTACATAAGTATATATATATATATATATATACATATACCTATACAGGTATGTGTGTATATATATATACATATATATGTGTGTGTGTGTATATATATATATGGGTTTTTTTTACCATCTTCAGACGTCTTTGCGCTCTCTAACGCAGGAAGTCCACACACAGCCCTGCTTCCCTGGCGAGGCACACCTCTCCAGACCATACAGCTGGGAACCTTGTAGCTCCCCGCTCCTTCCAACCCACGTCTCCCACATTTCCCGTTTACTACTCCCTACCTGAAGACGCAGCAAGCACACCCTGTGTGTCCACTCAGCACTGCCCTAGACAGCAGATCTTAACTTTGGACCTCCGGCTGTACTGTAAGGAAACTTTCCAACCTCCACATGGATTCTATTCCAACACACTGTAGCTACTTCGTTTACCCCACACAACAGCTGTGACATAACGAGCGCATAACTGACCTTCAGCATCATGCCAGCTTGCTCATAGGCTCTGCGAAGACAAGACAATTGCTCTGATGAGTCTCACTGAACAAACGGAGTGCAGGGCTGGTGGGGAAGCGACTCCAAGAAAGCGGGTGGCCACAGCATCAGCTGTGCCTACCTTTATCTCCCTGGGCAACAATGCCTCAGGAACGGCACTGAGTTGAAGACATTTTATTTTGCAGACAAAAAATGGCTCAGAAAGGTTAAATGATAACCTGAAGTTTAATCTGACAAACCTAAATCTACATTTTAAAACATAAGTTTCCACCAAAGTAGGAAACCTCCTACTCTTTCATAGACACTACTAACTAAGCTGAAAGGGGAAGAAGGGATTCTAATGCATTAATTTCTTTAGACTACTGAACAAATTAGTCTAGAAAATACTATGCTGAGTTTAATTTAAAAATGTTTCTTACAATCAGGAGTGACAGTCTTTAAGATTCAGTTAAAGACCAAAGCAAATGAAAATAACGCTGGAGCTTGTATCTGGATGTCCCCCAAAGCCACATCTGCTCATGGCGAGGCCTTTCCCAGGTGGCTGATCTGTATGATAACCACACTGGCCCGCTGACTGGTTGAGCATCACTCTGGATGTGCTAACGGGAAGGCCCATGCCAGAGGGAGCAGTGCCACAGGCCCACAGGCAGAATGTAGAAAGGAGACAGAGGCCAGCACCGCAGCTTCGGCCTGCTGCCAGCCACAGACCGCTTCTCTTCTGTGAAGCTGCTCCGCCAGGCCACCCTGCCTTGGAGCCAGCCAGCTATGGACTGGAATCTCTACAGAGCGTGATCTAAAGTAAACCTCTCCTCTTTTAACTTGTGGGTGTTGGGTATTTGGCCCCAGCAAAAAGAAACTAAGACAATACCTATTTTATTCACATTAATACAAAATATACAAATTTATAACTTGGAAAAACTTTAATAGTCTATTAACTAACTTTTAAAACATAATCTGCACATAAAAATATGGAGAGTGTTACTTACTTGGCAGCATGAAAAAGACTGAATGGATCCAACAATGTCAAAATTAAGGAAAAAGAAAAGGAAATCAAGTTTCTAAAGAACTGATATTTAAAAGACAGGTAAGTACCACTGGCCCAGTTGGTCCCAAAAGACAAATCCTATAAATGGTTAAAAAAATAACAATAACCAATGCCTATTGAAGTTTCTTAAGAGCACAAAATTCACAAAACACTGTGAAAACATCACAGAGACTTAAACTCCACCATATATTAATCTGACCAGTTTTACTAAAATGCAAGATTATGATGACTATAATTTGCAAGTAAGGCAATATAAGCATTTTAATTGTTAAGTTTTAAGACACTTTAGGAAATCATGTCAAAACTACTTAGAAATCTTTTTAAGGAGGGCTGGCCAGATAGCTCAGCCGACTAAAGCACCTGCTTAGGATTCCCAGTGTGCACTGCCAGCCCCGCCCCTGGGCTACAGAGACAGGGATAGAGATTGGGCGTGGTGGTGCCTGCCTGTAATCCCAGCATTTGGGGAGGCTGAAAACAGGAGAATCACTATAAGTCTGATCTACGCAGCGAGACCCTACAGACCCTGCAGATGCTGTATCAATTTAAAAAAAAAACTTTTTAAGGAAGACTCTTTTGTAAAAATTTATGTAAGTATGTACATTGTCAATACATGTCATAACTTCATTCTTCAGTTTGTATCAAAAAAACAAGAGATTATAATAGAAAATAAAGTGCTATAAACCACTGTGGACTTATGATCAACCACTGCACATATTCAGTCAGAGCTTAAAAATACATTTTCTAACCATTTTCTAATTTAAAAGTTTTTTACTTTGCACTCAACACATTTATAACAAGAGAAAACACACTGTCAAAGCTTGAGTTTATTCAAATTATTTTAGAGGCTGTAAAAGATACGCCCTATTATTTTCATGGGCCACAGCTTCCCTCAGACAGGCATCTTTTGCTTGTTCAAACTGTTTGGCATTTTTAAAAGCAACAGCTGAAACAAAACAACAACAAAATGAATACATCCATTTATATATACAGACTATCATTTTAAAAAATCTCAAATGAACCATTACTGAAATCTGCATTTATCATGAAGTATCACAAAGCATACTATGGATTTCAAGTACCTGGGACGTTTCATAAAACTAAAATATTTCTTTCTCCTAAAGAAATTCCCTTACAACTTTTCTGAGTATCAGTATTTCAGAAGTATTTATAATGGTTTTGTTTTGTTTTATGGCAACACAGCAGAGTTACTTACACTCAAAACCAAGAATTCAAAAAAAAAACAAAACGAAGAATACGAAGGCCAGCACTCCTAGTGCTCCCGAGTGTCAGCAGGGCCTTCAGCCACAAAAGATGGCAGCCCACGTCGGCAGCTCTGCGCTTCACAACAGCAACAGCACTTCTGTTGTAGCTCATTACATTATATGGGGACTGAACAGCAATATACACTTGATTTTACAATAAACTTTCCCTCATGGCAGGTTCAATTAAATGCCTAGCAATGCATCTCTTAAAAAATAAAGCTTTCGCCAGGCATGGTGGTAATGCCTGTAATCCTAGCACCTGAGATACTGAGGCAGGATTGCTGCAAGTCCAAGGCCAGCCTGGACTACATAGCAAGACCCTGGCTCAAAAATAAAACAAATCAATGATGTAGAAATATGGGACTGGGGGTCTGGGAGAGTGGGCCCTGGGCTCTATCCCTAGTACTGCCAAAAGAATAAAACAAACAATAAACCAAAGCTCTCATACAGCTAGAGGATGTGTGAAAACATCTTCCTGTTGAATCTGAAGTATGCGACCAGGAGTTTAAAAAATGAAAAAAAAAATGTAACCGAAAGAGCAAAACTGTGAGGAGCGACTCTAAGATTCAATATTACAAATTCCAAGACACTTTCTAAGAGCTGTCTTCCTCATACCTCCGGGGGGGAAAAAAAGCAAAAGCGTAAGCAGTTGCTCTATTTTTTTTTAAGATTTGTGGCAATGTTTTATTTTTTTTCCATAATTTTATTGAGAAACAAATAGCAATGAGACAGTTTCAAACGGAATTGGTAGGACAGTTTCAATATCTATTTTGCTTTTTAACTAAGGCCTTGTAGAAAACATTAAGTGTCAGCATCACAATGACACGAAGCTATCAGATTGTTCTAGGGTTACACACTGCAACAAAAGGATTACAGTCACAAATACCTGCTTTTCCGTACTCCGAAGCAGCACTGTCATAGTCTGGCTTCCACTTTAAAAAACCAGTTTTGAGGCTAGAATGAAAGAAAGACACATTTAACCGAATCTACCAAGTACATCTGCAGGTCAGAGCCCTGCTCATAATGACCATTTAGGTCACTGAAATGAATTTTCAAAAAAACATCAGGCATAACCATAACCCAGCTCCATTCGGACTTACTGACAATACATACCACCTTACCTCTCCCCTCCCACCACCACAGACAGGACTTTCTCCTTTTGAAGTGCCTATGCCCTATCCAAGACCCCAGACCAGCAGCTCCATCACCCAGTCACCTGCGGGAAATGCACACTGCAGCTCCATCTGAGACCTACAGAACCAGAGCCTCAGGGTGTGTGCAGCAACCCACGGTGCAGCAAGTCTAGGGGTGCCTCCAAGCACAGCCTCTTTTCCTACAGCTGAGAGGCTAGGGTATCGAACACAGACAAATGGAGGAGTCATGAGCATGTGCTATGCCTCAGCTGACTGCAGAGAGGGTCCCCTGGGGAGACTGCAGAGGTTAGAAAGACACGCTCGGAGGAAGGGCACAGGGATTTGGTCCAATGCTGAGAATGAGCTACAGTGAAAAAGGATAACCAGAAAGAGGATAGTATGGTAATCAAGAGAAACTGTCACCCAATTATGCTGCCATTAGATGTCAAATCAAAGGACAATCAATTTTCCCTTCTTGGGCCTGGGGAGATAGCTCAGTAGAATAAGCGCTTGCCTGGCAAGCCCAAGGGCCTGAGTTCAATCCCCGGTTCTGAAAAAAAAAAAAAAAAAAAACAATTCCCTTCTTCATATCTTATGCTTTTACTTTAAAGTATTTGCCAGGTTTACAGTGTAATTCAGTGGCTGTCAAACTTGGGTGTGCATAAGAACTGTTGAACACCTTAAACTGTAATTTTCAGTTCAAATAAGGAAAGCCTGCTTAGCATCACACAGCTATGAGCTTATGGGGGCAAGGGCCAGAGGCACAGCATATACTATGGGGCAGCTCAACCAACTGCCCACAGAATCTTTTTTTTTTTTTTTGGCAGCTCCAGATTGCCTCCAGCGCTGGTCTGGATTGCCTCGAGTATGCGGGAATCGAATCCCGGATCCCAGAGACTGACTGCTTTGTTTAAGCAGGCACTTAAACAACTGAGCTAGTGGGCGGGCCCCCTTCCCACAGAATCTTTGAAGGAACATTTTTCAACTATAAATTTAACCTATTTAACACCTAACATGTATTTACATACTATAACAACATTTAGAGTTATAAGCAAGTTTTTAAGCTTGCCAAAAGTTCACTGCTCAGAAAACTAAAATCCTTAAAACTGCAAGATGTCTATTCTCATCCACAAAAACCAAAAAAATTCAATAAAGCAAAATTCTAACTTTCCATCCTATACCAAAATGCTCTACACTCTGCATGTAATACAGATTTAAGTCCCACTGAGAACAAAGTATAATCATTTCACTGTCTAATGTGATACACCTAGACAGAGCCAGGTATTTACACAGAAATTTATTTTTTTTCCATAATACACAGAAATTTAGAAATCTAAACATATACAGCATTGTAGCAGGACAGTCCTGTGACTTTTTTTTCTTGCGTCTTTTTTCATTTATTACCTTTTATTTATTTAATTTTAGTTATTTATTATTATTATTATTATTATTATTATTATTATTTTGCTATTTTGGAGTGGGGTTATACGTTTTTATTGTTAAGGAATCCACTTCTATCTTATAAAACTGGAGCTATCACGGTCACAGCTCCTGACCTCAAATGAAACCCTTCTGTCTATGAGGCCTCCATCCTGCCCCTTCTATGCCTGTCCAGTGCCAAAGCCAACTCTGTAGGAAGGTTTTTCAGAGAAGACAATTACTCTGTCTTCCTAGAAGGAAAAAGCTCCATTTGCTTTAGGAGGCCGAGAGCAACCCTAGAGCACAGACAAGCTGGGGCCTGCGCAGGCCTCAATTTTACCTTTTATTTAAAAAACAAAACAAACAAAACAAACCCAGCTTTTACTTGAGAGACAGTATGGTAATAATTGGTATGTCATGACAAGAAGTACGTATTTAGAAGACCAGAATGACTGGCATTCCAAGCATGACCCTGCTATTACACATTGCTATCTTCAGTGCAGTTGCTTGGTTCACAGGTATGAGCATATATAATTAGTCAGGGTGAGAATCCTATCATTTAACTGCTAGTTTCAAAAATCTGCTGATGTTTCTGAGGATCACTGCCTTACTAACAACATTTTGACCAACATTTTAACAAAACCATGTAAGAGGAACTGTGGAGATAGCTCAGTAGAATAAGTGCTTCCTTGGCAAGCACAGGGGCCTGAGTTCAATCCCCGGTTCTCTGTCGTCCAATGATCTCAGTGGATGACCTCCAAATGGTATAGGGGAAAGAAATGAAACTCCTAACCTGAAAGGTACCTGGGATGAGTTTGTGTTCTCTAAGACGGAAGAATGAATTTTAGGAACAAACGGAGGTTATGAGCAGAATATATTTATTGAGAGAAGGAAAGCTCCTGTCCAAGACAGGGACAGGAGGGGGGGCAGTGGGTTGTCCCCAAGACAGCCAGGTATTTAAAAACATCGAAGATCACCAGCCAACACAGTTTTATCAATTAGGAAAAAAAAGAAGGCACTGTAATTTAATTTCAGTTTCACATCTAATTTGTCAGATGTTTTGACCATGTCTACCCTCAGTGAGGAAACAGACCAGTTTCCTAGGACAAAAGAAATCAGGAGAGCCAGCATTTATTTGAGGGGATTACTGAATATACTACCATTAGAAAAGAGAAAAATCAAATCTGCTCTCCTAAGCTCCTGGCCTAGTTTTCCTACCACCTACTGAGCTACGCTGCCTAGAGGACTTTTAATAGAACTTTCAGGCTGGAACCCAACATCTCACTGCCTCAGCCCCACCCGGTCATTTTCGGTCACCTGTAGTTCTAAAAAGCCACTCCCTCCACTCTACCTGGCCAAGTTAGAAACCTGGAAGTCAGCCTTTCACCTGCATAGCCGCCAGGGCAGTCACTAATATGTCCACAGTGAGGCTGTAGTTTGCATGTCTTGCTGCTGGGTAGCTCTGAACCACCAGTCATACATGGACGACTGCCCCATCAGGTAGTACAAGCCACCTCACAGGACAGTCATACATATACCTCTGGAAGCTCAAGCCAGTGGGAGCACATTAAGGTTGTCAACTCTATTAGACAAAGGCTGCTCGAGCCTGTCCTGGTACTTAATTTCGGCCATCATCACCTCTCCCTGAAGTCAACAGACTAACCTGCACATGGTACCTCCAAGGGCTTCGTACCCTGCTTCGCCTCCAGTACCCCAAGACAGTAACCCCCACCTCCCTGACACCCACCAAGCCTCTTATCCAGCACTAATCGCCTGCTCCCACTTCTCTGCACACCTGCCTGTCCTCCTGTGTATTCTAAGCTCTTGAGAAAACGATGACTTTAGTATGGCCCAGTGCCCCAGTGGTTAGTTCAGGTCTGCAACAACGACTCCCTGTATGGCTGCAGCCATAACTTGATATATGTCTGCTTAATGAAAAAGCCAGTTCTCTCCCCTTCCTCTGTCACAGCCCATCCCGCACAGTGCTGCCCCAAAGAACTTCAACCAGGTCCCCTGGTTATTCCACATGGAGAAAAGCTAACACCCAGGGCTGCCTAGGGCATCCCTCCACAGCCCAGGCCTAGCTGCTTTCCGCTCTAGCTCTCTGTGCAGCGTCCAGAGCTCCCTCTCGGCCTGTGACCACAACACTCCGCAAGCAGAACCTCTCCAGACTTGCCCTCACGAAGCCTTGCTCAGAAATCATCTCTTGATATCTTCTTAAACTCCCTCTGGCAGAACGAACTGGTATGTTACCAAACAATTAATACAGCTTTACTGTGATCTTTACTACGCACATTATCGCCACTGCCCTTTCCTTTGCTCCGGACTGCTGGGGCTACCTCCTGACCGCGAGCCCTGCACCCGCACCCCACCCCACCCATTAAGCAGGCGGCTCCGGCGGCGAGCAGCAGCAGCTTGAGTGCCGCCACTGCCTGCTCACTGGCTCTGCCCTCTTCCACCTGTGCGGCCCTGGGCAAGTGAGCGGGACGCTTCTCTATCTACCTGCAAAGTTGTCACGCAGATCTCAGATTACTAAATTATGTACCGAAGCACTCAACGCAGTAGGCTTTTCACTATGGTAGGTAATTACTCAAAAATTGCTTTAAAAAAAAATTGTTGGGAGTAATACAAGCAGGGGAGGAGGATGGAGGCCAGAAGACTACGGAGAATTTGCTGCATTCCACAAATGCTGCGGGTGCCTGGCTGGGTCCTGGACCTGGAGATGTGCGGCTGTGCACCGAGGTCCTGCCCCAGAGAGTTCCTGCCCCAGGGAGCAGCAGGCTGGTGGGTGGCAAGAGCCTGCGGAAGCTGGGGCTCGGAAACAGCCCGCCACGACTAAGGGGCTCTCACAGCACCGGTTCTCAACAAGCAGTCTGTCCTTCAGGGGACATTTTGGTGTCACAGTAGGAAGAGGCAAAGAGACGCAGTTGTCATTTGGTGACTGAAGTCCTGGGGGGACTTCCGGAAACAGCGAACAGCGCCGCGCTGGGAACCCTCGGCTCCCAGGCTAGGGGACAAGCGTGCGACCCCGCCGCCCGCCGGAACCGGCGCCGCCGAGACGCTCGCGAGGCCCACGGCCGAACCCGCGCCGCGCCCTCCAGCCCGCCGGAGCTGCCGGTCCCGACTAGAAGGGGCCCGGCGTCCGCACCCGGGCCGCCGCGGGGTCACTCACTATTTCTCTGCCTTGGCCAGGTGCTCCAGCCCCTCGTTTATTTTCTGGGCCGCCATCTCCCGCTGCAGTCCCTGAGGCGGGCGAGAGGGACGCTGCTCCACGCCTGGCAGCAGCGACCACACGCCGCGGAGGACGCCAGGACTAGCGCGGAGACGGCGCAAAGGATGCCGGGACGGTGGCAGGGAGCGCCTACGGGGTACCGAAGTGCTCAAACTTCCGGCAGCGAAGCCGGAGGGCGCCGTGGAAGCGCCGCCTGCAGAGAACCCAGGGGTAGGATGGAAGCGCTGATCCAGCTCCGGGTCATCGCAGAGGTACAGTGAGCTTTGACTGACGAGGGGCGTCGGTCTGGTGCTGTTAAAGGCAGGGAGCCTACAGCAGGCGAGGCCTGGCGAGGAGCGGGGTCCTGGGCGCTTCGTGACCTCCCGTTCCCCCTTTTCACTTCCTGCTCGACGGAAGCGGCTTCCTCGCCTTCCCTCCTGCTTGACCCAAAAGCTGTTGCCCAAGCCACCTTGGACGGAACCTCTGAGCTAGGCGCCAGATAACCCTTTCCTCTTTATAAGCTGATTGGCTCAACTAGCTGTTACAGTAGCGGGGTGGCGAGCCCGGCCGCGGCTCCCAGAGCGGCCCTCCACGTCTCAGTGCGCGCTAACCGCTTTGCGAATGACCTGCGCGAAGCTGCGCGAGCGCACACGGCCGTTCCCGGGGCGCCCCGGCCTTTCTCCCAGCCTGAAAAGCACCAGCTCGCTGCTTCCTCCGCATCCACCACATCGCTGTGAGCCAAAAGCTTAACGTCTCAAGGGAACCAAGAGCAGCGTACAGAGCCCCGGGAGAGCTGCCGTCTCCCACTTAGGGATCCCGGCAAGCCGGCAGGCGAGGCTGTAGACGACGGCTTCTCGGCTGGCGCCCTCTTTTTGATCCTTCGTTTGGGATGTCATCAGCTAGCATTTGTGTAATCCTAGTGTTAGGCAACTGGTGAAAGTGGCTAAAAGAGCAGTTTGTGTTCCCCAGAGTAATGATGCGCGCTCTTTAGCCTGCCTCCAGCCCTCAATCAGTGTGAGATGCTTTGGAGAGAGTCCCACCTCAGGCAGACCGTGAAGCTGTATTTACTCTCGGGCACTCTCGGGGGCGCGTGTCTTTCTGCACCCGCCCATGACCCACACAAGTGGCGCGCCCCGGGGCACGAAGACGACCCGCGGGGCGCGGAGCCAGGCCGCGGAAGAGTACCGCAGGGCGGGCGGGACGAGGGAAAAGCTCCCGTAATGCGAAACTCCCGCTTGCGTAGAAAATGAGCATGTCCGTCCTATTCTCATTCTGACGTTACTCAAAGAAGTGGGTGTAAAAGTGAAACCAGAGTTTTGAGGAATTATTTTCCCTTATAAAAAGGCATTGTTATTGGTTTCAGCCTAAGGGAAAGGCTGCTTTAAACTTAAAAGTTCAGAAGCAAGTTATGAGAACTTGCTTCCTCTTCGTGTGTGGGCTCTTTGTAGTTTAAGGTCCTTGCGGTGGAGCCCCTGCAGTCGGACTCAGAAGAGTCCAAGAAACATTTGAGAAGGCCGGCCTCGGATGCTGATACTGCTAAGCCTCAGGAGCAGCTTCCGCGCAAATATGAATCTGCACATGAGACCTTTTCAGGGCCTCTGCCTTCCTCACTCTCAAATGTGGATGCTAGCATAGAAGAAAGGACAAAAGTGGAGCAGGGGCCTCTGTGGTGCAGAATTATGATGAGGCTGCACCCCCTCAAGGCCTCCTACATGAAGGTGCTCCCCGGCATATGAGGGTGTCCTTCTTTACATTTCTTGATGCTCTGCAGCGGTGATGACTCTGAAAAACTGGATCCTAAAAGGACACTTACGGCATCACAAACCATCTCCTCAGAATCTGAGAATTTGGAGGATGTAGAAGAAGAGGAAACTAAGAATGAGCTAGGTGAGCTGAGGTAAGGCAATTATCACAGTTGCTTTCTAAATTGATTGAAAAAAATAGAGGTCTCTACTCCTATAGTTCCTCCATCTCAGTTCACAAAAATTCAGCCCCTACCACCATCTTTAACCCTTCTGCTCCTCCATATGAAGAGAAAAAGGAAGGCCCCATGAAAGTGTATAAAAGTGTGGTATCTCAGGCTCTTATGTAGGGGAGACAGCAGGAGGACCCTGAAGCTTATGCTGCCCCTCTGGGTATTTTTCCTGGGGTGGTCCAACAACACCCCCCAAATGCTCCATTTCCCCAGGAGTCTGTACAGTGGGAACCCCGACCTCTGGCACTAAAGGTTATTGAATATTTAAAGCAGGCTGTCATGGCCTGTGGTATGCAATCACCTTGAGTGATTGGATTAATACAAGGATTAGCAAATGAGTATGTGTAGCTGGCATTACAAGTTCTTGAGGCTCAAGATAGTATGTGTTTAAAATCTGGGCAAAAACAAAGCATCCAGTGGTCAGAGCCAGAATGACGGGCCCACAAGTGGCTGCACACAGAGGCCACGGCTACAGGGCCACGGCGCCCTCAGAGCTCTAGGAGGTAATGTGGGCTCCAGAAAAGGCTTTTAGGTACTAAAACTATTAAGCTGCTGCTAGCAGCTGCGCCAGCACAGGTAGGGAGTAAAACTAACCAAAGACAGCCGCAGTGCTCAAGGGTCTGCAGGTTTTGTTCAGTGTAATCAATGCTGTTTGTACAAGGAAAGCAAAGTTGTAATTCTATCCAACCAAACCATTATTTAAACCACACCAAATTCTTATATTGCTCAATTGTTCATTCATTTTTGCTAAAAAATTTGAAGTTATTAAAAAGAAATAGTCAATTAAATAAAAGTTAATCAAAGGAAAAACATTTTAACAGTTTTTCAAATACAAATGTGGGTGGCCTCCCAGTAGGGCAGCTCCAAAGGGGTATGGCCATTGCCCCAGGATATTTTAAAAGATTACTTAAAATTCTTTTAATTCCTACTTAAGTTTGATTGCTTGTTTTACTGTCCTAAATTTAAAATGGCATTAAAAATAGGGCTTTGGTATTTTACAAACAAATATAAAGGTTTAAAATAATGTGTAAAAGCCATGGGGTTTATATGTAGCTTGATTTTGACTTCCCTTTAAATAATTAAAGGCCTACTAGCAGCCTCCAAAGGGATGCAAGCTGTGATAACTTCTTCATATTTGGGTCAGCTTATGAGCAAAGATATTTTGGTCCCAAACTGTTCAGATCAACCACTGATGATTTTCAGATTTTATTTGTAACATTAATTGCCTCCATCTAGATTTTGGACTAATGTCTTTGGTGCTCTTGGCTGTCATTATCCTTCAGATGAGTTAAATTACTTTTATTTTTTTCCATTTAGGTCATATTAAGTTGAATGTGAAAATGTATGGCTTCCTCTTCCAAAATATAAAATACAGGTCTCTCACTGTATGATCAAAATTCTATCAAAGTAAAGGGGAGTCAATCCTGTCAACCTCACTTGTCAATATATGCTATTAAATTTTTAAACTTGTACGGCAACACAAAGACAAACCAGGTAAGAGAAAAAAAGCTAAAAAGGGTCCTTTGTAGAGCTCTGCATACTGGACAATGGAAGGGACTCAGTCCACTACTAATCTGGGGCAGAGGGTATGCTTGGTTTTTTTTCCAGAGAATGCTAAACAACCTATTTGGGTGTCAGAGTGCACCGTCAGGCTATACCATGGAGCCAGATCTAAAGAAGTTAACAGCAAGGAGGCTCAATCCAGCCTGGGGCCTATTCAAGGAACCGACTGAATGAAATTTTTTTTTTTTTTTTTTTTTTTTTTTTGTGGAACCGGGGATTGAACTCAGGCCCTTGTGTTTGCCTGGCAAGCACTTATTCTATTGAGCTATTTCCCCGGCCCCAAATGAAAATCTAAAATCTAAATAGGTGACAAAAAAACCCATAAAAATATAAAATATGCATATTAATTATAGCTAAAAGATTTTATTCCTTCCAAATTTTTCTAATAAGAGATCTCTAATAATTGATAAATAACAAAATCTGACTAGTCTACTTATACAACTTCTAAAAACTGTAACAGAGTTACTATAATCTAATTTGGCCAAATATTTGAGTGCACTCTTGATTTTATAAGGAGTTTATGTGTCTGTGTGTTTGTGTTTGTGTCTTTCAGTGAACAGCTGTTCCTCTTTTTCTTTTTTTTAATGATTTGTTCTAAATATAATTTGAGATATAGAATTAAAAGCATGCTTTTTCCTGAATTTCCAGATAGTCAAAGTGATATTAAAATTGATTTATGCACAATACATCATAAGGCTTAAGCTAATTAAACAAAAATTCCCTAGAGTGGAAAAAAATTATTAGAGAGGAGTTCAATTGATGAATAAGAGGTGTGGCCAACCTTTTTCTTCATTAATGAGGAGCTCACAATAATCTCAGTAGTCTCTTAGGAGACACCCTCAATAAATAGGTTGTTGGTTAAAAGATAAAGTTTTTCAAAATGTTACAAAAAATGTTTTCTCATTAAGGGTGGTTTTGGTACAAAACTAAATTAAGAAACACAGGTCTTCAGGTGAGGTGGCCATCCGTGCTGTGAATCTCTCCCAAGGTATGCTAGGTGCGTTTAGGCTTTGAGGTGTGCAGCTCGGGCTTTCAGAATGTAACATGAAGACTGCGTATGGAAACAAGACTTTCTCACATTCAAACTGCTGCTTTTTATAAAAACTTGCGCTATATGTCTAATTTAAGGGTAACTAATTAGAAAAAAATGTGTATATTAAATAGAGATGATTGATTAAAAGTGTTATGTCAAAACAAGACAAAACAAAAAATATTTAAAGTATATCACAAAATGTCAGGATTGTCCTACTACAATGTTATATATGGTTTTGATTTCTAAATTTCTATGTAAAAATATGTAACTTTTGTCTGTTAATATCCTGTATGGAATTAAATATTAGAATATCCATGGACAATTATAGCATGAGCTAGTAGGAGCTTAAAGAAATGCCCATTAAACAGAAGGGGAACTGGTAGGGAATACACATGTGTACACCTTGATTAATTATTCAGAAAGCTCTATTTACATTAAATTTAAAAAAAAAAAAAACCTGCGAGACAGATCTTCTGCTGCAGGCTGTCATTAGACAAAAGAAATACTAAAGAAGTGATTTGGGTGCCAACTTGACCAAACCTAGAAAATAAACAAATGCA